CTTTGCGCAGTGGCATTACCGTAGCCAGTGAGGTCCAACCGAGGCGCGGTTATTGCTGATTGAAAACTTTTCCCAATATCCCGCAAGACGGCTTGAAATACAGCCGGCTTTGCAATTTTTGAAGACTCGAATGGGTCACCTCACCAAACAAAGATACAGCATTCTTGTGCCAGTGGTTCACTATGGTCAAAATATCCTAGATCTATCATTTCATCATTCTTGGACTTCAACATACAACCAAATACTATGTTTTCATTTGAAATTTTTGTCTTCGAGAACTTTCGCTAAACAAAGACACCTTAAATCAAAGCGAAACAATATTAAGTAATGATTTAATTTATTTCTTAAAAATAATGACCCTTTGGGGTCTTCAAAAATTGCAAAGCCGGCTGTATTTCAAGCCGTCTTGCGGGATATTGGGAAAAGTTTTCAATCAGCAATAACCGCRCCTCGGWTRGACCTCACTGGCTACGGTAATGCCACTGCGCAAAGATAACGAAATCAAAACCTCAAAGACAGTTTGGATCATCAGTCGTAATGCTATCCATGTGGGATTGCAATTTATGCGTATTTCGAAGCATGCGCACGCCCAATTCATTGATAAACACACCGAGTATCCTGATTTCTTTTTCAATTTTTGTTGTAGCTTTTCTACTTCCAGCATAATGGAGTGATTCAATCAGGCAGCGAAGACAGTCCGTTATGTGTAGAAGCACTAGGTAGAGAGGTTCTACTCATGGGATGTGATATCAGCTCAGAGGCTTTGGAATGGGCATTAAAGGTATTAACCCTCAGTCGTGATTTTTGCGATAGCGCACGTGATTCGTTTGATAGCTGATTATTTGCAAATGGTGGGAACTAGCGGTAAACTAGTGTGAGCTGCGTCGGTGTTTCTAAAGAAACAGTTGTGTAAAGAAGATAAGTTTAACACCGTAAAAAAGTATGGGAAATAACTTACTGACGTTTCGGATGTTAATCCTTCCTCTTTACTCCGACGAAATGCAAATGCCCAGTATAACCCTGGCTACTTTGCGACCGTTTATTTTTGTTTGTGCCATAAAAGTTTTGAGTKACTTATCTTTTTTACGCTCCGCGGACCTCGTACAGGCTTCGTTTGCGTTCCCTATTTCAATTATATCGAAATTACTAACAAATGACWTTTTTTTTGACAGGGAAACAGCATCTATCATAAGAGCTCGGACTTATGTTTGGAATCTAATCGAGAAAATGGAAAGTTTAAACTTAGTATCTGCAATGGCTCCACGGATCAGGAATGGGTTTTCTCCGAAAAAGAATGACGAAAATATGGCACAGATTCTTAGTAGTAATGTTGAATATATTATTTTTATATRATAAAGGGGCTTGTGTTTGAGAAGCAGCAAAAGGGGGTTTTAAGTAAATTTTAAAAACAACTTTACAACTAAGGGTTGGAAAGGGTAGGGTAAAATAATWAAAAAAAATYAGTAAAAAAATAAAAGATCACACAAATGCAGAATTTAAAATTTTCAACAAACAAAATAGATTTTTATTGAAGTTTTGATGAAAGTGGACAATCATTTCATATTTCTTTTGGAATTATTCAGAATAATATATTATATAATCCTATCTGTAGGTAGTTTTGTTCAATTCATTGATAKAAGCTGTTTGTATACTATTAAGCCAGCCTGTAGAAAAGAAAAAAGAATTGAGAACGTTACGACAAACAAAGACAGCAAACATTTTATTCATATTAAGTTATTATGTGAAATTTAGTAGTCTACAATAAATAAGGTTGCAACAGATACATCTAGGTATTGCATGGTCCGAACTAATAACTAGAGGGTTAATGAGGGTAATAGCACATATACAATAATAAATAGMTATTTAATTGAACTCATCCAAAGAGATTAATATTGTATAGAGACACAACAATATTGTAGATAATATTACAAATTATAAACTAGAACTAATTGTAAAGTAGCAATAATTAACAAGATATTGAAACAAGGAATAGTTTTCTTCACTGTTTCCTGCTATTTTGAAAGATAAAATGTGTGCAACGAAATGAGACAGCTGGTGAGTTAGCAATGATAGACACCTTTAGGCAATTATTCACAGGTATCATTGTGTACTCACTGRCAAAGGGAACCATAAAAGAGATTATTGGAAAGAAAACACAATAAACTTACATATGCATCAGTTGCTGCATATAGCTTTTGCTCATATGAAAGAGGTGTTAGCTCCCAATCACTACAGCGAATGTTGTTATCTTTGTTCAGCTGTTGTTTGAACTGAAAAAGGTAATTCAAACATAAATATCCAAAGTGGAACAAGATATTTGATCAATTTTGGAATGCTATGCTATTCTTACATACCAGGTTCATTACAAGACCAGTTAGACGCCAGTTTTCATTTGATTTCAGCTTTTCATTTGCCAAGATTGATAAATCAACAATGTTTTTTGGATAAACATCAAATTCTCTTGATAATTTATCAATGTCACTGTGAAAGAGTCTAATATCAGTTACTATATTATTAAAAAGATTGGAAATGAAAAAACTAAAAATTATGAACAAATGTGCTTAAAAAAATATAATCAAAAAGTTAGAAATAATTCTCCAAACCTTTGGATACCAACACCTGCTTTCAATATTGTTTCATCTTCTAACATTGATTTCAAAGCAACAGGAAAACCTAAAGTTAACAAAATTGTTTATTTCAAACTGAACAGATTGGGATCCCTGTGGAAGGTATGCCACAGGAATACCAAAATTAAATACCTGTCATTCTTGACAACTGAAATAAATAACATGTGTTTTCTGAAGGACACAGTTGTATGAGTGCAGTTTTTCTTGAACCACCTCCCTTTAYAAATGACACTTTCCATTCCATGTCAAAKCCCATCACATTTTCCCTTTTCTCWCTGCCATAATATTGATACCATAATAGAAAAATAAAAAACAATGATGAAATAATAAATCACATTACAATCATTCAGTTACTATTGCATTTTTATGGAATTAMATCATTATTAATAAACTTTAGCTGTGATAAAGTTGCTTTTTTGTTTTTTGTTTTAAAWTTTTAAGAAAACTTCCACCTCTGCTGTCAAGCAACATTGGATAATGGTTGGCTGTTATARTAGCAGATGAAAAAGCTTAGCTRGTGCTATTTTGTTTGTTCTTTATAACATGTGGTTTKAAAAAAGTGGTAAAATTCTAACCTGATCAATTCTTCACAGATGAAATTACACTCATCYYKGTGAWAGCAATAAACTATTTTACCGCTGAAATGAAGCAACGGTAGTTTTGCATCATCAAAGCCTTCATAGAAACTGCTTGGTAGTGTGCGACYRGGCTTTTTCTACAAAAGATAGAAGAGTGATTTYAAAACTGCCTGGGTGATGGAGAAAGTGGGACAGACTTGAGCAATACAATGTTGATAGGATATATATGAACACTAATAAGTCAATAATTGAATTAAAAGCATACCGATAATAAGCTATTGTCCTCACTGTCAACTTGCTTTGGCTCTAAAAACATTAAAAACATAAAATACAACATATTAAAATAAAAGCTCCTTAGTAGATCCTTAATCCAATCAACTTTGCGCTGGATTTGGGAAAGTTAGCATCTCAGGGGCACCCAACATTCTTATGGGATCTGCACCCAAAAGATTGAAATTAAATATAAAATATATACAACAACGTTATCACTTATAGCATAGTGCTTATACGATAGAGTCTTATTTTTAAAGACTTACGTAACTAATTTTGACCATTTGTGAGCACTTCTGTACTTGACTTACTTGTCATCCATTCAGGAAGATTGCGTTTTTTGCTTCCCTCACAAGCCATTTGATAAAATGAAATATGCTACTGTCTATAAATGAYCCATATCAGTTTAGATTAAGCGGATAAGCACTCATCTACAATGTTCTGTAAATATCTAAACAGCAATTAAAGACAGGCGTTGCTCGTAWGTTTTGGCGGGAAWTTTTTCATAGAGTAGGCATGAGCACTAGTCTTGTCAACAATATGGCGGACGATGAAGAGGTAAATTTTCGTGTTTGTGCGGTTCTCCCTGCTGCTGGCAGCGGGMTAAGAACAGGTTTAGAAACACCAAAACAGGTAAAAGAAAGATGAATAATTATGGAATTTTTATTACGTAGCGTTCAATCTTTGACTCTAATTCCGTGGAGCTTGAATCAGACTTAATCGAATGGGTGTTTAAAGTCTAGTGTTAGTCATAGGCTTGACACTAGTATTTTGTTTTAGTTTAATTTAGTTCTTGGTCGACCGCTCATAAGTTACACTCTTGAAGCGTTCGAAAGGTAAGTAGAATTTTCTTACGAGAAGGACAAGTTACATTTTAACAAGAAACGAGAAGGGATGGGACGCATCGGGACATAGTGGAATATGCCACTCCATGCAAGACAAGTGTATGTTGTCTGTAAGTTTCTAGTCCAATCTGTTTGCTCATCATTTATATTTTCTTGTATATTTTTTCATTGTCAGAGTCTCATGGATCCAGAAAATTGTCGTGTCTGTATCAAAAGAAAGCCTTCAAGAAATGAAAAATGTAATGATTGATTTCCTAGAAAAAGTAAAATGTTCTCAAATAATATGAAATTATAAGCTTAATTATATGACTAAATAAATGTTTCATATATATATATGTTAATTGAGGCCATGTTTTGGAAACTGTTATTTTACTGAGCTTACTTGTAAAAATATGTACGATAATGATCGATTTTAACTTATATTTGAATTTTATGTTTTTCTTCACAGATTGTGCTGGAATTCAACCATAACAAAGTTCAAATTACCCTTGGAGGGGCAACAAGGTAGCCTGATGGCAAAGACTTTTATGGTGACAAACATGGGGGGAAGCTATAGATTAGAAATGTGTAAAGCTTTCTGAAATTGCTACTACCAGCGTAACACTAATTATTATTTCTAATCACTTCTTCATTTTTTTTAGATTTTTAAAATCTCCACATTTATGTACATTGTATGTGTGTGTTTTTTTGTCTGTAAATATTTGGCACAGTCGATGTTATATTTATCATGTATATTAGGTATGTTTGTTAAATGGTTTTTTTTTTTGATGATTCAGGCATAGGTCAATATTCAATGGAGTCAAGGAGCTCACCCTAGGGCATAATCAACCTCCAGATGTTGTAAGTGAATAACACTGAAGCAGTTGGAACTTTTGTGTCAAACTGAACAGTTGTTCTTTACCGGTGGAAACTAGCAGTAAACTAGTGTGAGCTGTGTYGGTGTAAYRCATAATGTTTTTTATTGCAATAACCCTTTTTAAATGATAATATAATGAATAATTTATTGTCTGGTTTACTATATTTAATTTAGGTGATTATCCATGATGCAGTGAGACCATTTGTAGATGAAAGCATCTTGAAAGAAGTTACATTAGCTGCAAATAAACATGGGGTGAGTACAGTAAAGCATCAGTAGAAATTCCAGAAAGATAGGTAGCTATTCACCTCATCTAGAATTAATTCTCTGATTGGCTGTGTCGTTCTTGAAGGAACAACTTTGTGTCTTTTGTTTTCTTCTTTTTTTTTTGAACAAACCTTTTGGATTGCATCTTCTGAGATGAGAAACCACCCTAAGACACTAGAAAAAATGTTTACAAGCTCATAACTTTGTAAATTTGAACAATACTGTCTTATTTAATTCATTTTGATACTCATTTGCTGTGAATATGTTATAATCAATCATTATTATTGATCAATAATTGATAACTAATGTTATTACATCTCAAAGGCTTCTGGTGCAGTGCGTCCATTGGTATCAACAGTAATAGGTGTTGACAAAGAAGGATTCTTAGACCACTCCCTTGAAAGGTTAGAGATATAATTGAGATTTAAGAATTAGTGCTAAAATGTGGCTATGGTAGAGTGCATCCAATATATCTATGAAATTGCACAAAAGTGCACTAATTAAACTGAATTAATAAATTATTTTTCACTGATTTGCATAATTTACAGGTAGATTTCATACCATTTCACAGATATATAGAATGCTCCTTAAAAAAAGGATGTAAAAAAAAATAAACTTTAATGTTGTCCAAAACAGATCAAAATATAGAGCCAGTGAAATGCCTCAAGCCTTTAGATTTGATGCTATATTTAATGCGTATAATAAGGTAAAGAAATTCATAAAATAGTAACCAAYGACAACTTTCTGAAAGCTTTATAGACCTTTTCTGAKATWSAAAATTATGGTATATTGTGGTCTCATTTTGGTTGAGAAAAAAATAAAAAATCTCCATTCAATTMGTGGTTTATCAATAATTTTTCAATACTTGTATTTACATGGTCTTAATTAATATATAGAGGATATTACATGGGCGCGTGGAGATACGGATTTTATCTTCGAGTGTTGAAAAGATCTCTCACGAGTGAGCGTAGTGAAGTTTACGAAATTGAGAAATATAGGTATTTCATAGATAATTATATGATAAATTAGTATAGCTGTTTTTTTCTTATATCAGTGTACAGAATATGATTTTGAGTATGGGACAGAGTGCTTACATCTTGCACAAACCTATTCAGGTGCCAAAGTGAAGCTTGTTGATGGTCCTGATTCATTRTGGAAGGTAAATTATTATTTTTTGCTTCCATATTTACTAAATTAATAAATTGTTAATAATTATTTACACCACACTTGTGTGAATTTTCGCTGCTGATTTATAATACTGATCAATATTTGAATATTCACACTGTGCTGACACTGTCATCTCTCACACCTGCATGCTACAACCATCAAGGTCCAACAACCATCAACCATTTTTTAAGAACTACAACCATCAAGGTTTAGGAATGAAATTTCAATGTCTCCTTCCTGGTATCTTCTGCATCACAATACAGCTTGAGAAAAAGGTGATATTTTTTTTGTATTTCAAACAGGTAACATTCAAAAAGGATTTGTTTGCTGCAGAAGCCGTGCTGAAAGGTATACAATATATTATATTATCATTATTTTGAAGGAGGCTTAAACATGCCTTGTGGTTTAACAAATTTCATGTACATGTGTGTAGCAAAAAGCCAGGYTCAAGCAAAGCTATGCTATATTGCAAACACAAACAAAAGAAAGGGCAAATAAAAGAAAAACATTTTGAGTATAGTTTTCAATTGAATTCTTTTTAAATTTTTCACTAATTTGTAGATCTTCAATGGCTTGATTTGCATTTTGAATCTTCCAGAAATGACAACATTGAAAGCCATTCTTATTGGCTCAAAATGTCTGCAGCTTGAGGAGGATCTCATGTCAAAACTACAATCAAAACAAGTAGAAGTAAGACTTATTAAAAATATCAATGAACTGACATCAATACCCTCTACATGTACATAAAGGCTTTTAAATAATCTTAGACACGTAGGTTTAAAGTGGWAATGTGGTATTGTTAATACATTTTATTAAAGGTATTTATTATTAAATTTATTTTATTAAGGTKAAGTGCATATCATATGAAGAGGTGGAAGCAGCTTGTACACAGACCTTCAATGTTGTTGTAGCTGTTTACAGACATGAAAGTCAACCTGACACTAATGTAAGTCATGTTTTGACATGCTTTAATGTGAATATCAGGATCTCATCAATTGTTGTCATCTTATTCATATTCTCCTCTTAGATGTGTTTAGTTGGTCACAAATATTGCATGATTGAAGTGAAACACAGCTTTGAGGAACAGTTGTTAAATAGGTTAAATTTTACCTCTGCAAAAGTAGATGTATAAAAAAGTAAAAGTGTAAAAAGAATTTGTTAAAATTTATCTTATTTGACAACTGTTTCTGTCTTTAGAAAAACTGACAGCTCATTCTTGTTTCCATCAGATTTGAGGATATTATTGCCATGCAAMTTAAGACTGCCATGGCTGAAGTTACTTTCATGTACATTAAAATAATTTTATTGGGATTTTCCAACTTTTTACTTTCATTTTCTGTCAAGATTTTATTCCTTCAGATCACTCTCACTGACTTCATCCCTGTTTTGTTTAGGTACAGAAAAATAAACCAATATCCTCTCAGGTSTTCTCTAACAATATTTTCCACTATTTATCTTCCTCTGGACTACACAAAAAGACTGCTGTTATTGTAGAGTTATCAAGTAAYCAGAATTATATACAAAGTTTCAAGGTATGTAACATGTTTTATAGTCTCTCCACCCCCATCCCCACCCCACTCAAGATAATCTTAGACTGTGCCATAGGCTACATTATGTATGCCACCCTTGTTTGTATTCTCACATGGTGATTGGCTGGTTAGGATACATCAATAACTGGGCATTTTATGATGCCAAGAGTCTATCAGTGAGAGGAAACACTTGTCTCAAAAGAGTGTGTTATTTGTTAACCATACAGGTTCAATACCTGTAGTTTTTGTTGCATTGAAGAGGCTGTGATACAAAGTGCACACCCTTAGCAAATAGCCGACTTGCGAATTACGCATCAATAGTCACATACAAAGGAATCAAGACGAGGCGCCGTGCTAAAGACAATAGATTTTTCACAAAAAAGCACGGCGCCTCGTCTTGATTCCTTTGTATGTGACTATTGATGCGTAATTCGCAAGTCGGCTATTCATCCACAATTACCATCAAATCCAAGCTTAATCCAAGGTCACAAAATACAAAATAACAAAAAATGTGATTTTCTAAAGGAAAAATTAAAAAWGTTAAATCAGACTGCTAAGTCATCTGGAATTCAATGTTTTGGTATCTTTGTGGACATGTCTTGCATTAGCAGACAGGTGAGTAAGTTCAGGAAAATGTTGTTAAGTTAAATAATTGTTCTCTTGTTCATGGAGTCCTTTATATTTTTTGTGCAGGGGAGACTGTCAAGTAGTGAATGTCAAGGAATTGTGTCTATGATAGTAGATGTTGCCTTGAATACTAGTGATACTCTCAATGGGCAAGTGTTTGAGTATCTCTGGTGAATGTATCCATCTTGTGGACAGTCTTTAGAGCCAAGACTTTAGAAAAATAGGGATGTATTAGCCTCCTTCACAGGCTTCTCTTCTTGGTTGTCCTGTGTACATAATATTGAYCAAGAAGAACTGGTGTCGAGAGATTACCCAGAGCAACAAATAAGAGAAGTAGACAACTCCTCCAGCTTTTTCTTCCTTACTAAACCCCTTCCCCTGCRGCAGCTTTTTTTGTCTWAATGCAGGAATTCCACAGAGTAGAGTTCCCTTTGAAGGAGGCTAGGGATGTATGGATTATATTACCAAATCGTAGTCAATACACTTTGAGATCCTGGAACAATAGCCTCTCATCTWGAAAGATAGGCATGTCTTTGCCTTTGACCATGCAGAAATAGATACTTTTGAATAATATTKTCTGTAGATATGAAATGGCTTTTTTTCAAAGGTTTTTTTAACTTTCCGGAYGGCTAGTGCATGAAATTGTRAAGGAGACTRTTATSCACACAAGATATTTCTCATTGTGCTCACCCGAATGAATATAATAATAATCCAAAACATTTGAATAGAAATAAGATAAATCAGGTAAACAATAATATTTTGTATTTTATAATATTATTCAAATGTAGTGACCTTCAATTGTTGTAGTAGTAGACTTGAGACACTGTTTTTTCTTGTCTTCATTATCAACTACAACAGTTAATATAGTTGGTCATTTTCATTTCAAGGACAATGGAAAGTTACAGCATTTGAGGTATTTTAAAAAGAATTACATTTAATTTATTAAAAATGTAATTTTCAATTTGAACTGACATTCCTTTACACTTCACTGAATATTTACTAGATGAACTCTGTACAGATATTTATGCTTTTGTAAACAAGTCAAGTACTTGCACCTAATCTTTGAACATTAGCTAGCACTAAGGAGTACTAACTTTCAGCATTACATCCAGAACTTTTAGAATGATTTGTTTCACAGATTTGGTAGATGTACTCTGCAATGAAAATAAGTACAAACTCAGGTTGTTCACTTCATAGTGACATAAAAATAGATATATTTTTTTAATTCATATTTAATATTTGCTGCATTTTGATAAGCATACTAGATTTTTACAGGAGTATGTTATATGGATGTTCGTATGCATTGATCTCATGTACATAATCATAGAAGGCTCTTGTGTCCCTTTAGAGCTAGGGTTCATTAATTGTATATTCAATCTTATGTACCCAAACGTGGTTATTCATGCATGCTGTTGCATAAATATCACAAAAATTCAGATTCACTCAAGCAAATTGATCTCATGGCTTAATGGTTAGGTTTAKGGAAAATAATATAGGATTAGGCAGAYCTGGTTCAAATCTTAATGCTGATCTTTAAAAAAAAAATTCTTTTCAGTTTAAGTTTACATCTTTGAAAATTTTCTAAGTTCTTCTTCACATAATAGGGAAATGAGAGCCTTTTATTTGTACATCATTGCCATGTACAGGCACAACCATATATTGAACTTGCACATGCTTCTCTTTCACAGAGAGGTATCATGTCATTTCTGAATTTTTATTTTCTTTTATTATTCACATTGTGCACCAATGATACAATAATGTATTTTTATTTTTATGCTTGTCTAGCTAATCTTAAATCTTAGTATTGTTCTCAATATCATACAGTGAGTTACATTGTATTGTAAGTTTATGTTTATGTATTAACATGTACTAAAATATACACATAGAAAGCCATCTTGTATGATGATTATTCTTCACTATCTTGTGATATTTTTTTATTTTTTAGCTACTTGCTTGCCTAAACCCGTCATTTCCCTAGCTACCTTAATAGGCAATATATACTATATTAATACACTAGTCAACCTGGTTAGCACAATGTGTGTGTCTTTTGACAAATTTGTAGACACACATTCTTGTTCAGGTTTTGAGGGAGGAATATAGATCATACTGCCATGAAAAACTATCTAGGGTTGCTACTTTACAGTTTTTACAACTACCAAACAGTGTATCCACCACTTGAACCACCGCTGACCCAGCTTTCTGGGGTTTGATTCATAGCAACTGGTTGTCCTTGAGATGCAGCAACTTGGGCAGCATTAGGAGGACATCCCGGTGGTGGTGGCTGAAACATCATAATTGTTATTGTTATCATGAATTTAAAAATTTCAATTTGATTGATTGTTTWCTGCAAACTCTGAAGACACCCACTTTTTAGAGTTGAGTCAAAACTCKGAGACTTGTCGAGATGCTCATGTTAAAACCTAAGACAGTCTTTTACATTTATGGATATGAAAACAAGCTGAATTGCACTTGTAGACAGAATATTGTTTCCTGTTTCTTTATTAATTTCTGCGAACATTTTACAGTGTTCCAAGGTTGACAAAATGCCAAACTCCCAGACTTTTCATTGAAAAAATTGAGGCCGAGACAGAAATACTAAAGGCAGTACATGTATTAGGCCCTGTTTACATAGGAAAAAAGTTGTCCCTGGTAACAGGGTTACCCTCCTACCTGAGCCAAGTTTTACAGATTGTTTATACAGGAAAAATGTTATYCCTTTTGATCAGGTCAACTACTTATGTGGAGGAGACTGAGAACAAGACAAACAGCCCTCTCAGGTTTTATCTCAGTTGCCCMAGAYGAGGTGCTTACAGGAAAGAGGGTAACCCCTCTTGATCTTGATTTACGCAACAGGGCAGTCATAGAAAAAATAAAATTGTCCAGGGTAGCTTGGGTAAGGGGGTTAACCCTCCTACCAGGAACAACTTTTTCTCATGTAAACAGGGCCTTAGGCTTAATGAAGATGTTTGACCAAGTGCTTGTGAGTTTATGCATATTCAACTTACTGGTACGGTTGGTGGTACTCCTTGGTGGAACCGTGCKCCTGGGTCAAAGCTACCTTGAACCATGGGCATTGGGTGACCTGGTTGAACTGGCATCTAAAATCAAAAAACAGCTGTTTAACTGATTGACAAGTGTAATGAACAAATAGCACCAGTTGAGGTTTGAATAATTACAAAAATTGCACAATATAAATGTACCTGTTGCATAGGGTAAGCTGGAGGTGGCTGGGGTGTTGCTGTGTATGGTGGTGGCGGTACTCCATATGATGATGGAGGTACACCATAGCCTGCAGGTGGTGGTGCTGGATGGCCTGGCACATAACCTTGTTGCTGAGGATATTGTTGATAGGGTTGTTGTGGCATCCCTTGTGGGTAGTATTGTTGTGGTTGTTGGGGGTATRTCTGTTGTCTTGGGTAACCTTAATTATATTTATTACAATTATTACATTAATATATACTTATCAATCTTTAAGATACGGAATAAAAGTCTTTAAGAGTTTGGATATTTGTTTGAGTGTTAATGTATGCAGAACTATCTGATCTACATTGTAGCTTATAATTATGTCTCCACAATATTTAATCATGAACTGCCGTTAGTTTTTTGTTCAAGTACTATTATTTTATACACAAAATATTCATTTATAAACACAACAATTGGCAAGAACACACAAAAAGCCTCCAAAGCATGTAAACTCAAACAAAACATGCTGTAGAGACTTATTCATAAACAGTTTGAATTCTTGTATTTAAGCAATTGCTCGTTTCTTAAATTACCTCCTTCGACAATTTCAAGGTAAAAATTCATAATACTTCATGATTATCGCTGTATTCAAATTGGAATCTTTGCAATCGATTGTTCGTTTTAATGTCGTTCAGCGAACAATGGTTTCTCGTATCATGTTCATTCAAGGTGATTTTTAGCGTTAAAAACATGCAGTTTACAGGTACATGGATTGAACATTACAAAAACATACCTCCTGGCTGTTTAGACATGATACAAAGGCAAGATAGTCCAAAATATTTTTGCTTTTGATGGAAATTTCTGAAATTTCGGTCCTTTTCTTTCGAGGAAGCGACGTCAAATATGTACACCACTGACGTCATGAGTTGTCATACATCTTTATCGGGGGTAGGGTAGGGATACCTTTGTCGAGAACCTCGTTCCCATGCTCTCTGCTTTGAGCCTCAAATATTCACGGAAAATGGATTTTAATGAATTTTTTTTTTTTAATGAAATGTTTTCAAGCATGTTCTCAGTGTTTCGTTTTACATGGTAAAAGAAAATAGATATTAACAAAAGGCTTGACAGCCTGTTGCTTGCGAGCAATCAAAACTCTCAGTTAGTTTACGAGTTTTATTTATAAAATATATTGTTCCAAAGCCCCCATCCTGTGGAGGTTATATTCACAGCACTAAACCCGTGAAAACGAAAATATGAAGAAAAAAAACAAAATCCGTCGCAGCCAACAATTTAGTATTGTTGTTAAACTAGAACGGAACTGAACAAATCTAGTTATGTATTTGTATTTRTGTTATTGTATGTCAGTTTTCATGAGTTTTCTGTGGTCATCCCTCAAACGCAATAAAACTGAAACCAGGTTCAGTAATTTTCTTATAAAATAAAAACGGTTTATAGATAATATTCTATTATAAATAGTCTTTTCTTTCGATATCGTCGGACGGTAAATAAAATATAAGAAACGATGTCATGAGAATCTCTCCTGGGTTTCTCATTGGATTGGGATCACTGCCGTTGAACCATCCATAGTATTTAATCGTGTTATATAACTCGCGGTTTTTGATAACTTGATCTGTAACATCGACAACCCATGGTACGACATCTTGACCTGGACACCACCCGTCCCGTCCATACAACCACGTGCCGTGCTCATTGGGAGTCACCCCTTTTTCGACCCTATTAGCGCACCCCATGGCGGTAGCGGCGTTCTTAAACACTCGTACGTTTGGTTTACCGTTGATTATAAAATGATGCGATGTAATACAAAATTCGGCGCATCCATTGTTGTCACTTCCATGACCGGTAATAGTTGCTACCAGCTTTACGCGGTCTGTTTCTGGTGGAACTTTAAAACGTATCGTTTGGTAACGTGTGTTGTAATCCTTGTCGAATTTTCCTCCTTCAAAGAGTTTCAATGCTCTGTACGGTACGATAAATTCATCTTCGTCGGCACTACTGTAATGATGTCTGGAATCTAGGAATAAACACCAAGTATTATTTTAGGTTTAATTGGACTCTCGCTGCGAGTTTTGTACGTTATGTACTTACAGTGGATGTGGTCAGACAGACGAATGTCTAACGACGGTTTCCACGCTCGTTCCCAGAATGGATGCCTCATCCTGAATGTACATCGTTCAGAAGTAAAGAGTGGTAAAAGTGGCGTTATCTTTGTTAGCCAGTGTCCAATATTTCTGTTAAAAGACATCAAAACCAATATAAATAGTGTTAATGCGTTCGGGGAGAAATTTCCTCCTTTGGGGGTGAGGTGATTGGAGGCGGATGTACACAGGCCAGGCTAGTATAAGAAACGAGGACAAAATGTAGATTTGCCCTGTCAAGAGGAGGTCGTAAGCCCTAGGATAACCTTCATGGAMAGTGTAGGTCTTTCCTGAATAAAGCAATACGCACTGCATTGTGGTCTAGATTTGGTACAAACATATTTTGTTCATGTTGTGTGCACTGAAGCTGATGTTAACCAAAATGCACCAGGTTTTTGTATTTCAAAGAAGGTCTATTTAAATCATTGACAGATGTGCTTTGGATGAATACTGAGAAGGACACCACATACCTTCTGTAAGGTGTAATCCACCGACCAATTTCCTCATCGCACAATACACTGTCATTGTTGCAGCAGACAGTTAGACGTACCACGTGATCCCAGTGTGGACAGTCATAGTCGTTATCACCTTCACAATGAAGCTTCATGTCGAGCTCAACGTTCCTGTACAGCATCAAATCTACCAGAAAAAAGAGCTAATTCTTACTTATGTACTGTGTGTTGCTTTCTAAAAAGTGCAGCTTCTTTACTTTGAAATTCCCATTTTCACTGAACTTTCGTTGGTGTAAAATATTCCAATGTGAATTGGGAAGGCTGGTATACCTTTGATTGGTGGAAGTTTCACAGTTGCCACAGCACCCTCGCGTCCCTTCATCAGGGCGTGGTCAAACACTTTGATAATCCTTGCACTGCCAGTTAGATTATGGATGAGATCTGTCTTGTAGTTAAACCTAAAACAAACAAATGTTTGGATATTTTAGATGTTGTAAGGGTCTTGACATGGAATGGGAGCTTGATTTGGGCTGAATGGAGTCATTTTGTGGGTATGTGGAGCGGCTCCTGACGTAAACTGCGCATTATTTCTTCTTTTTACAACTGGGTATTATTGGTTAGTATTGTTCGTTACTATTATTGGTTAATGATAGTTTAGCGGGCCCATGTAGCAGTTGCTTTAAAACAGTTTCAACTACTTTTCTATTCGAATTTTTTTAGTTCTTACCATTTTGCTTCATAGCCAAGAAACATCATGGAAGGGTAAAGAAACAGTCCCACTTCAGCCAGTTTCCCTTGTCCGTCAATAGCCATGAAGAAATTTTCCGTTGGAGTAGATTGATACGAGACGTGGAGACTTTCGCCATCTAGGAGTCGCTTCCTGATGACCATGCCATCTGTGTGTCTTATCATAGACGCTGGAATCCTCAGCGGAAAGTAGCAGTGTTTACCAGAACAAGTCAATTCTTTCACAGTCTTTTCTGCCTCTTGAATAATGAGAATGCCGGCTGCCTTTGCTTGAGACATGTTTCTAATCTAATAAAGGATATTTAAATTACCATCTAGGAAAAGGTCCAGGAATTCTTTTCAAAGAGGGCGTTGCACAAACTATGTTGCAGATGCTGAAATATCAATATGGTGGGCGAATAGTTCTTCGACCCTAGCAATGAYTGGAGCAGAAATTTCAAATAACCCCCAATAACCCCCCCCCTAAGCCCCCCCGACTATGCTTCCGTAGTTTTGATTGTGGTTCGACGTCTAGTCTTATTGCTTAACGCCCCCCCCCCAAAAAAAAAACCTCTTCCCCCTCCCCAAACCTCTCCCCCCCAAACCTCCCCCCCTTACGTTTTCCAGAATCGCAATATTTTGTTCTGCCCTACAAGCTACCAAGCTACACTGACCTTTCTGTAAAGAGAGCATTTGCCGGCTATGACGAGTGCTATTATGCCGGGTTTCTTTGATTTTTTCTTGTCTTTCAGTTTATCTTTGGAATGAGCACGCGAAAGATCCTCCGTGCTCAACTCACAGGCGTCACCATAGTATTTGAGTTTAAGCATTGAGTGACGGTGTGAAAATGTATGCGGTGAAGGCAGCCAATCATAACGCGCATCAAGACGTTCGACTACACTGATGATATCCCCTGAAAGGTGAAATAAGAACTTGGATTAATAAGCAATGTACATTGACGTCATTTTCTAAGAACAAAGAACGATGGGAAATATGGTCCATAATATTTCCCAATAAAGAAAGTTTTTTTTAAAAACGCATTTTCGCTAAGAAAAAACGCACGCAAAAGGCAAAAGGACTACATTTTTTGACATGCTTATGGTCTATGATGTGCACGTACTCTTATGTCATTTTACCCCTTGAACGTCACAGAAATGCAGTTYCAGTTGGGGGCAAAATAATGTTATTCTACTGACTCCTAAGAAGGAAAAAGCTAGTTTGATATCAATACAAGGGGTATTCTATTCGTGAGTATTATCTTGCTAGTGAACCTTGCATCTGAAATTCACTTAAATTTGTTAAACTGTCAATTAAAGCACCTGCTTTGTCTTTGACAGCAACTTGTGGAAGTGCACAGCTGGACCCAAAACACTGCCAGTGATCCAGCACATACGGTATATAGCTCCCAAGTTGAAACATTGGCAAAGTGACAAAGTGAAGGCGTTTTTTCCAATTTTCAATAGCCTGGGACTTRTGACATTCGCTTTTATGTCGTCCACAGAAKGGCTTCTTGTGACGGTAGCAAGGTAGACGGTAGGGCTGGCGGTTATGGTGACGATTTTTRTGTTTCCTTCGTTCTTTTAGCTGCTGTACAGTCAAGAGTGATGGCTGCTCTCTCAACTCATCGTCCGCATCAATTTCACAGTCAGAACTGGAACTCGTCGAAGAAACTTTACTGTGAAATGAGAAAATAAATTACTTGCGATTATAAGATMGTACGCGCGCTCTGATTGGCTCTATTTGTGGGCAGATTTTTCCCAACTCGGAACGTTACCATGAAAATTGGTCCGGACCGCGATCAGATTCGCAAATTGAACTGAAAATTTGGGAGACAAGTAGCTTTAATGGCGATGTGACAAATGTAAACTAAATCTAGGAAAACCAGATGCCAAYATTCCCAATTGACTTATTAAACAGACATTCACTAATAAAATCTACTTCAGTTAGTATGAATTCTGATTCTTTGGTTTAAACTCAGTTTCAAGCATGATTTGAGAGCTGAACTCAGTGTCGACTCAGTAACGGTGTTTAAAGACCATTGTTAAAGACAGTTTTCCTATTGTTTCATCCAGATCAGTTTCGATAAAAAAGTCATGTATGATAAACGATTTATTAACCTCGCTTGGTCGGTCTTTACGGGAAAATATCAGACCTATCCACACTGTCAAGACCTCGATCTAGTATTTTTGGTACAGTATGCCAATTGGCATTTAGATATAGTCGAAGCCATAACTTTTTTCAAAGAACAGGTCCATTTTGAAACATTCCACGACTAATTGAACATTAAGTACCACTAAGAAGAGACAAATATCTTAATAGTAAATTACAGGTGTTTTCAGATTTCCCATTCACAAAATATTTTGGGACCAAAATAATAATAAAAAAAATCATTTTTATCCTTATATTTCATTTATYTTATATATTACGGGTGCTGAATTGTTGCCCGAAATTAAAATTTTATCGTTTCCTGTCAAAGAGCAACATTTACCTATAATATTGATGAATGGTTGTGTTGAGCACATCTCTCATCCACGTTGCATCCTCTTTTGCGTTATCACCGAGAGATATGAAAACATATCTTGTATTTCTTGGAGAATGCTTCAGGAARTTAGTCAGGGAATCTTTATCTGTCCATATTGCTTCCAAAAACGCTGATCTACTCGTGAAGGCGTGCAAGATTATTGGGTGTTGAGGTACTGTGTCATTCTTGTGCCGTTTGAGGAAAGTGACTCTTCCATCGAGAGTTGGGAGAGTRAACGAYGGAGCAAAAGTTGCTGGTTTGAGCAACGATAATTGACCAAATGTTGTCCGCCTGAGSAGTGTTATRAAATAAAATATMAGGATATTTTTCCATTTCTTCGGCTCTTTCATACTTGTCAAGAAACGAGGAGAGTTATTTCTGGACTACTTCAGTTATGATCAAATTTATTATTTATTTTGACATTAGAGGATATAAGGAGAATCCATCAATCGATCAAAATATTGGAATAAMCTTTTAAGTTAAATTCACATACCTGCTGAAATAAAATAAATTATRCTTTATCATAATAATAAGAATAATYGAGGAGGAATATAATACAATTTTACGGTATTTGTTKAGACTTTTTGAGTTCTTGAAGAGATTGAAAATTGTTACTTACCGATTTACTTACCTGTAATTCTCCCAAATAGACCCTCAATGATTCAGCGGGTTCTCTCACAACAACAAGAATAGCTAGTGGATGTTGTTCTGAAAGACTTCGTAGAGTTTGATTTGATTTAGTAGTGTGATATTGAAGAAAATATCCCAACAAGGTAGGCAATTGATAAATGATATGCAATAAACAAAATGTTTTAAACATTTTACAATTCATCCGGCGTTACACCTTACCCGGCCGGTGTATTTTCAAAACTATGGCACACTTCGTCTATACACTTCGTCTGGAGTTTGTTGTAATTTTGAATTCTTTTGTAGCTTAAATTGACGGCACATCTTAGTGTGTTGAAAGCCTTTGTTTTCTCTGATAATTCTTAAAATTTTGCTGCCGTAAATGTTGCCTCAAGGAGATCTCGCAAAGTAAGCTTTGCAGTAATTTCCCGGTGTTTTGATTTTTCAAAACATCACCCATAACATTTTGTATTTACTGGAATATATTATTTTGATGCTGTAGTATTACTTATATATCGATATTGATATTATGGGCAAGTTATGGCAAATTTTAGATATTTTAATTGTATGGGATGCATGGCCGGGGATTTCTTTGTCTCATTCAATATTCACTGAATTTCAAAGTGAAACTCAGTCGGTTGGCTGAGCTCCAAGGTTTTTTGTATTTGGTGCATGGCCCTGGGATTTCCTTGTCTCACTCAATATTCAAATTTCATTTCAAAGTGAAACCCAGTCGGCTAGATGAGCTCCAAGGTTTTTCAAATGGAATTTATTATGCAAATATGAGAATATTAAGTACTCAGAACCTTGTGGGATGGCTTGCAAATCACATATGCCTATGGGTAATGGGTCAGTTGTTTCATAATTACATGGTCCCATAAACTCTGCAAAGAAATTGAATGCTCCTTGTTTTCTGAATACGTCMGAAAAGGAGRCAGGAGAAGGAAGGGAATTGGAGTCCACTGAGAAGTCAGGGTTGTTTCYGAGGCTGTCAGTCATCACCATGTATCCGGTAGTGGCAAGTCAATTGCTTATGCAAAAGCTTGATGACATTTGTTTTTGATCACAGGATGTCAAAAACGTTTGAAGAACAACAATTTATAAAAGCTGGTCATGAAATAGACAACCTTGAACTTGAGGGCTTTGATCATTTTATTGATTCTACTCAAGAAAATGTGACCTGTAAAATATATAGAAGATACCAAGAGGTAGGTTCTTTGCACATGGTTTCTGCAAAATATTTCCCAAGTGATTATTCCGGAATCGTAAAACGCTAAAAAAAATCAGCAGTTGAAATCTATAGGGCATTTTGCTGTGATACTTGCTCTTGGATACTGGATCTTGGGCAAACTGTGTTCTTGGGCAAACTGTGTTCTTGGGCAAACTGTGTTCTTTATGGGCAAATCTATGGAAAATCTAGTTTCTGAGGGCAACTATTGCAGCAAAATCATCGACTAAGATACCGTAACTTTTTAAAATAAACTATTATAGATAATGTACTACATTTAAACAATTATCCATTTTCATCAATGTTGATCCTTTTGGCCATTAATTTATCAGGAAAGTGGTCTTTATGATTACAAGATTTTGGGCGAACTATTAGATGTCAAGTATGAAACTTGTAAAGCTGTATATATGGATCTAGATTACAGAAAGACATGGGATTCCTATGTTAAAGGTTTGATGCTCATACTCAAATACATTGTAATCACTGTTTAAGTACAGTGTGGGCTTCCTGTGTTTTTTCTGACCATTCTAAAATAGGACTGGAGCGGGGTTATTGATTGGTATAAGCCCAGCCTCATTAGCACTATATTAAACACACAGGAATCCCATAATATATATGGCTCAAGCTTATTTGAATATTTTGTGACTTCTCTACATGCAAAAATACAACAAACTTAGATGTGCTGTAAAGATTTGCAAAAAAATAATCATAGATAAAATTGTATTTTTGCAGAATTGTACGAAGTAGAAAATCAAATAGGTGTAATCTACTGGAATGTAAATTATCCTTTTCCCATGTCAAATCGGGATGTATCCTTTAAATCGCCACTATAAAATATATTTGATACGATGAACGTTTGTAGAAGAACATTCTTTAAGGTCTCTGGCCAACGAGGATCCGGTGTTGCAGGTGTTGCGGCACCGGGAAAAAAAACAGAAAGATACCAAAAATAGGTGACACCACGCATCAGCGTCATCATCTGTTTGGCTGGGAGTCCCGAAGTACGTTTCTTCAAGCGCGCGACACACATCCTCGTTGGTCGCCTGTCAGAGAGCTTCAAAATGTTGGTGGTAAAGGTCGGGCGTGATTCCGTCTAGTTTTGACATTCAATGGACAAAATATTGTGAACAAGCCTTTATATCAAGAACTCTTATCTTTGTTATCACATACTTCCTTGACTTTGCAATTATAGTACATATACAGGCGCGAAMTATGTGAACTTGGTCAACCGGACTTTAAGAGTGCAACCTCAGTAATCTTAGCAAAAGCTTTCGATGTTCCTGACATCAAGCAGAAATCAGGTGTTGTGAGGGTTACAAGTTATGAACAGAGTTTAGTGATTCAAAGCAATGGAAAGGAAGGGACAAAAGGTACGAGATTGTAATCGCGTTCACGGCGAAGTCAGTTCACACCTTTTCATTCCGTTTTCAGAGGAAGATATTTAATATTGATTGTTGCATGCTCAATTTAGAATTAAAAAGGTGTATAAGTTATTCACCGTCACGATGTACGCGTTGGCCACGGTTCTTTCTAAATCCGAGGACAGTTTGCAGGATTATAAGTTATTCGTTCTCCTTTTTTCGTTAAAATTTCATGATGGATATCGTACCAATGTGGTCCAGGCAGGTGATAACAAGGTGGAGCGTACGCCAGCCAATCCGAGCGCAAGCTTTTCCCAGCTCTACAATCAGACGCATAGGTAGATTAGATACCAGTACCTTTCGCCATAAAATGTTGTTGCATTGTTTGTTTGTAGCATTTATGTACTACTTTGACAACCCCGGTGGAATGATTCCAACTTGGCTCATCAACTGGGCTGCAAAGGTTAGTATTGACATATTMTTAATTTTTCGCCACCAGCTATCGGAGATTGACTGGTAGAAAGRGATGATTAATGGATAATGATTGGTCAAAATTTTAAATTCGTTTATTGTACGCTTAGGATCGTTACATATTAACTTGTTTTCCSTTTTTTCATCACAGACAGGAGTGCCATCCTTTATGAGCTCCATGCGAACTGCATGCCTTGGCTATGACAAATATCTTCAGAAAAAAGGACGAACTTGACGTCTAAAAACATTAGATATATTTAAAATTTGCTAAATCAAGTTAATTTTAGAAAAAAAAACACACAAGTCGAGGAAAGTGAATGAATGAAAAATTCATAGATTAGCAGGTAYTTCATGCGTTTTTACAGAAATGTCAAAAGAAGTTTTCTGTTTTCTCGACGTTTTTTTTTTTTTTTTTTTTTTTTTTTTCAGAATACAATATCTTATTTCTCCTAGTTCTGCAAAACATAAGATTATCTAAATTTCGAGGGTCTAGTCACGTGTTTAATGATGTCACCAGCTGACGTTTGTAATATGACATTCGTAGGGAGAAGGGAAAGGGGTTTTTACAAGAAAGATATAGTAAATTTACATATTTTGTAAATATCCCGTAAATCGAATTTACATCGTATTCACATCATATTTACAGGGTTCCCGGCGCGCAATKTTTTCCACTGTTCTTCGTAGCCATGTCCAGCTTTGTTCCAGTCTGAAGTATCAAGCTCTTAGTTATCTCCTTCGCAGCCGGTATTAGACCAGGCCGGGATCGCCGAAGCTGTAWACAGCTATGAAGGTGTTCTTTTCGAAATAGACATAAATAGACTATTGTTACCGATACGTAAACTTACCTATAAATACAACAAAGCTTTTGTAAAATTTGATTTTATTAAAAATGATTTGTCATCCTTTTCTTTTCGTCTTCAAATACACAGAAATAGTCATTACTGAATTTGAGCCAGGGGTATCGGGGTTGATCACAAGTCTCGATTTACCCTTAAACTGGGGCCACCTCGGTAAACCTTACCATTCATATAATTACAGTAAATCCAGAGAGCTAGTTTCAAAGCAGCTCTTAGCTCGTATAATAATTTGAAATGTGATTGGCTTATGTATTAATAAATCTTGAGCAATTGACCCCAAGGCTGYAAAGTGATTTAATGTCGAGTTGTCCCCAATTTCATTAGTCGTATTGTATCATAAGTGGAAACCAGCTTTACATTGAGGGTGCATACACAGGATTCCGTACTTTTTCGTGCAATTTATTCAGTTCTAATGAGGCTGACTTGACGTAGCTTTCTCATCATTGGTCCGCCGTTATGACGTCATGCTTGTTTATCATTGGTCATCAGTGATTGGTTTGTTACGTAATGCTAGTTTGTCATTGGTCAGTTTTTTCGTCTGGTTTGGTAGCTTCTTGTTGAAGTGTATATAGTTGGCCCAGCTGTTCATTGGAAAAGGCATCGATCTGATCATATGACAAGTTGGCTCCCAGKTCTTCACGGTTGGACTGCTGTTGTTGTTGTTGCAACATATCGGCGTACATCTAAAAAAAGATAAATAAGACAAAATAGAAAGAGTTGATATGGGACTAGGGTCAATGTTCAGTATAGAATCTCATTTCTAAAATATTAAGGATACTACGCGCGCTGTGATTGGTCGAAAACCATGTTTGATTACAGTATCAAAACACGCTCGCGCGCGTCAAAAATTTCTTTTTTCCCRCCGTTTGTATTCTTTTAATTTTAGAAAAGAAATAAAAGACGAAATTCCRTGTTTGATACTCTGATCAAAACACTTGGRATGTAGGGAGAGCACTCGAAAAGCTGGAAACCACTCCGCTACGCGTCGTGGTTTCCTACGCTTCTCTCGTGCTCTCCCTACATCCCGCGTGTTTTGATCAGAGTATCAAACACGGAATTTCGTCTTTTATTCCTTAAATAAAGAACTGTATAATTTTCACACGAAATCCCCTTGGGAAACTTTATGATCKACAGTAATATTTTCTGAACACTAGAGCATGATGGGAAAATATCTCCCWGATCAACTAAATCCCTTCTCTTGTTTGTTGACTTAAACGCTATCATATTTTGCAAAGAAAACTAAAGGATTTTATTGATTATCTCAGAAGACATAAAAAGTGCAAGGCAAAAATATCTATCCACGTGYGCATTAAAAAAAAAATTAAATTAAAATGACTCAGTGTTGGCTCCATCGCGTGTTGTCAACGTTCTAAGTTCTTACGGATTAGTCTGACAGTCGATTATTCAAGTATTTGGATCTTCAACAGATCCTTTGCGGCATTCCACTCACTTCACTTTACTGATTAATTTCCCATCATGCTTTGTTCTAGAAAATGGCGCCGCATTTTGCCTGCTTATTTTTACTGTTTTCGAGTTTCAACTAACAATTAAGACACGATTTTAGAGTACATAACATAAAATATTTATCGTCCATGTGCTGTATAGGGCGAGCCTGGGAAGCTGATTCAGAACCTCAACACATAGAGAAAATGGAAAATCGAAAAAGGAAAGGCAAATTAGTAAAAAGAAAATGGAAAGAGCAGCCTGGTCTAAAGAKTGGATGAATTAGAAATTAGAAAGATAGAAGCGAATGGAAGGAAGATGAAAAGGGGGAAAGAAGAAAAAAAAGGGAATGCAAAAAGAGAGAAAAGATAGAGGAGAAAAGTAATAAAAAAAGAATTCAAGAAAAAATGGTCGAACAAAGGATGCAAGARGCACAAAGTGAGATACCGAATAACGAAGCAAAAAATTCAGCAATGTAAACCAGCAAGAAAGTGACCTGCACAAGTGATGTACTTATATATACATGATACCATGGCGAGACGGTTTTTTTAAATTCATCTTTCTGTATTTACATTAGTATCTTTCTAAGGGTTTCACATAAGTTACTCAAGCTAAATACATCAACGTGACCACTAACTGAGCGGCTATTTGTTCTGATTTCAGTTTTCCAATCACGTTTGTAAATAAACTGCTTTGTTTCCTCGTAAGGGGCTGGGATTCTTAACCAAGAGTTTTCATGCGGCTGGGCTGCGAAGCGGGTAACCTAATGGAGAGTGATGGTTTTAAAATATTTCAATTTCTATATTTTTTTTTGGTCGGAGTCCCCAACCGATATAATATTTAGAATGCTTGCAGCCATTCCTTGGGCTTTTCTCAATCTCGTAAAGAAGAAAATCTCTTTTGAGAATACCCGCGCTCACGAACCGCACGAAGAAGTCGGACCAATTCCATAAAGAAACATTGCGTAAATTGAGGAGAAAAAAAGAGAAAAGATTCACACTGTGTAGAAAAGCATTCTACATGCAAATTAGTACTACAAAATAAATAGAAAAAAATACACCGACCACTTAAACCTAGTATTCATGACAGTGCAATATTCGAAAAACCGAGCTACACCCACGCTTTTTCAAATAGATGTAAGAATGGCCGACACAAATTACAATTAAAATGTATTTTTAATAAAAATGTAGCCATCGTGTCTGCTCATTGACCTACTGAATTACCAAACAGTGAAAATAGCGAAATACCATAAATGAAGGACTCTATGCTTGTTTTCTGCATCACTTTTGTTGTATGGGAAAATGTGTTCAAAGATCAATACAAAACCCTTGTTCTCTTGTTGAATTATTCAAAAGATTAGCCAAAAAAACCTGTTAATATTTTTATTATTCTTTCGTCTTTGTTTTTATTTTTCTTGTTAAGTTCAGAATTATCTTGGGAAAAATGTTCAGTCGGCAATATAGTTCGTTATTGATAGTGTAATTATAATCAACGGTGCTCGAAAAAAAACAACAACAGTTCTCTCAGTAATATGATGCCGACTTGGCGCAGTAAACTGGTTAAAATCACCGAACGTTTGTAAGCCTTTTTACGACAGGACTTGAGGGTTGGAATATACTGACATGTAGGCAACTAGTATCATATCCAAGAGTGTTCKTATTATAAAAGAGGCCGAAGTCCACGCTGCACGGCCAGGGGGGCCCTTCTCAAGAAACACATCCTTGCTAGTGTTATCGTAGAGAGGGACGACTTGGCCTCTGCAGTTTTCATCCGAAACAGCTTTTATAAAATGGATGYAATTTCTTGTCGTTCATATCATTAAATCAGCTTTGCTGGACAAAATATGGATTAAAACTCATTGGGCCGTTCACTTCAAAAAGTGAAATTTGAATTTTCCATGTCAATTTTTCATCACGCCCACGGGTCGAGAACATTAACCAACATTTGCATTCCCTTTTGCATACTACCGAGCCCCAAAACATACCTTCCACTCTTGTACAAACTGCTCAGCTTGTTCTAAGCTGACATTTTTGTGCCTTCGGAACTCGTCTTTTACGTACTGGTCACCAAGTGCTTTTAGTGTAATGGGAAGCGAACGATGGAGGTTCAAAATACGACGGTAGAGGGTCTTGACGAGATATACGTGAGAAGCGCGGCTCATTGTGTCCTAAAAATGGAATAAACCCGGAACTGTAAGTAAAGCAGAAATAATCAACATCTTTATTGATTATTCTATAATAAACAATGCAAATTTGTAAGTTATAAAATAGAAAACATCCCATTCTGAAACCGGCCTCGCCCTTTTTGGCAAGCAACGCTATGGTAGCAACGACATGTCCGAAAACCCGTGAAAAATCTAGAAGCTGGATCTTTGGCAGTCACCAATTGCATAGCGCCATTTTGTACTTATATATATACATAAAAGTTTAACGGGTTTGTTCAGTTGATGTCTTCATAAATTACTATAAGCTTCTGCAATTGCTATAAATGCTTTAGATATATCATTAGCCTATTAGATCCAGTGACATAAGCAATCATTAACATGAATGGCTCCATCTGTCTGATTGTACACTTCACACTTCGTTGTAGTTCATTATAGTCTTATCTTGTTTATCACGTGTCGACTGCCTTAAGGGAACGTGTGCGCTTGGTCTTTTATTATTGCCGCGGCGTTACACGCTGCGTACTAGAACGTAATGGCGCTAAAATGGCGCAGATTTGTCAAGTTGATTTTAAATATAACCATTTATCACCTGACCACTCCTTCCATTCACTTATCCTTTTTTATCCTTCTATTTATTCATTTATCCATCTGTTCACCCTTCCATTCACTGGATCATTTGGAAATGTATATATTCTTTGTTAGGAATAAAAAAACATTGGAATAAAAAAAAACATTTGAATTTTAATTCCCAGTTTATTCATTCATTTATCCACGAGCTATCTCATTCATCCATTCTTCAATTCATTGAAAAAATTGTTGATTTATCCTTCATCCATGCATGCCATCATAGTTTTTATCCATGTCTTTCATTGATACTTACATACACACATGCGCTTTCATTTCATAACTTATAAAATTACTAATTTTACATTCTTATTGTTCAGTTGCAGTATGAATAAATCAGACCATGAACAAAGCTCTGCATTCAGTAATATGATAAGTCTTTCATCAAAATTAAGACAGAGAGGTAGGTTGACTGGCTGGCTGCCTAGGCTAATATAACTTAGCACTACAGTCTGCCAACATCCCAATCCAGACTAGTCATTCTATCACCATGATAGAGTGCATTTTGTATGTCTGTGAATATATTCTACATTCCGGCTATTAGTTAGTGCCATTTAGATCTCTTAACCAGAACAGCTTAAGAAAAGGCAAACAAAAAGGAAACAATACCTTGTCATAACTTCACTTGTCTTAAATAGTCACTAAGTAAGAGCTATTATTGGATTTATTTCCTAGATATACACACACCCTATTGCAGTAATCACTGCTGTGGGTGTAACTTTTCTCTCTATATAAAATTCATTGCATATTGACGTTGTGTAGGAAGTTTTTAAGCTCAATTATGACCAGGAAAGTTACTGGTCAGATTTRTGAAACTGCCATGTTTTTTATGGTGTCCTTTTTTCAAAGACAACAATGAAATCTAACCATAAAACATGCATAGAGTTGGTCTAGGCAGACAGCAAATACAGGCTTTCACAACAATTGTTATAAAAACCTGCATTAATTATGATATAATTTTGACAAAAATAATAATGATAGCTATGATGATTACAACAATAATTTTAATATATTTAATATGTCAATATACACACAGATGGTCAAAATACAGGATAAGAATGTTTGGAT